TGTGTGTGTGTGTGTGTGTTCCACTGTGGAAACAAACTGTTTTCATCACAGATCAATCTCCTGGATGTGTTGAGCCCTGTGCTGTGTCTTACAGGTGCAGAGGTCTGAGCACTCATCAATATTAGATTGAGAGCAGAGTTCATAAATGTTAATGACGAGCCTCTGAGGCAGAGTGAGTTCACCTGGTTAATCCATAGCAGCCCTGATGTTTTCACACTCTTCTTCTCCTCCTGTTTTTCTTTTCCCTCCCCTGCTCCCCGTCTGGATCCGTCCAGATGTGGAAGCAGCCAAACAGGATCAGAGCGAATCAGATCAGTCCGACAGCGATGACTGTGTAGTTCACGGCGTGGCTTCAGGGAGGAAGGTGAGGGAAACTGTGTTCACCTGTGATGTTGTTGTGTCCACAGCAGAATCCAGCTCATCACGGTCTGTGAACACGTCCTTTCTTATTTACTTCTTATTGATTCTCTGAGTCGAACAAAGCTAATAATATATTTTTTATCTTCCAATCAGTGACATGTTTATACGTTTGTTCTTCAGAAAACACAGCTGAGCCTCCAAACATTCTTATTTACATGTTTCATTTATTTCTGATTCATGTGAAATCAGGAAGAAGTTGATTCTCTCTCTCTCTCTCTCCCTCTCTCAGAGTGCATGCTGGGAGATTGTGGCGTGCGAGTGAGGGGCTGAGCAATATGAAAATATATTAAAGAAAACTCTCTCTCTCTCTCAGCCCTCGGAGCGAGTGCGGGTGGAGGTGGTGGCTCTGAGCCTGAGGGCGGAGTCTCGTGTGGCGATGGACAGCAGCGTGGTGCGTCTCTTTGTGGAGTACTCTCTCCTGGATCTGCCCACAGAGGAAACGCCAATGTCCCTCCCCAAACCCCTGCAGGGCAAGAGCATCAACTTCAATCACAGCAAAGGTACGAGTCCGGTTCAGAGTCCGGTTCAGAGTCCGGTTCAGAGTCTGGTTCAGAGTCCGGTTCTCTCTAACCTGCTCCTCTCTCCACCGTCACACACAGAGTCTGACATATGTTGGTGGAGACCTGTCGTCCATCTTGAAATCTTGAGAAGGTTTTCTATGTTGTCATAAACGGGTTAATGACCTTTGACCTGTTGTTGTTCAGTCTTTCCTGTGGATGCTGAGAACAACGGGCCGAGGCGGCGGCTGCTGAGGGCCGTCCTACAGGGGCGACACTCTGAGATGGAGAGGTGGGGACATGTTGTGGTGTGTGTGTGTGTGTGTGTGTGTGTGTGTGTGTGTGTGTGTGTGTGTGTGTGTGTGTGTGTGTGGGACTACAACTGACTTGTGTGTCGTCGTTCTTCAGAATCAGATTCATGGTGGTGAGCGAGCCTCCAGAGGAGGAGGAGCAGGAGAGGGAGTGTGAGGACGTGGGTGTGGCCTTTGTGAGGATCCCCGAGATCCTGGAGAGAAGACGAGACCTGACGGAGACCACACTCCCAGGTCAGAGACACACAACACACACACAGACACACACACACACACACAGACACACACACAGACACACAGACACACACACACACACACAGACACACACACAGACACACAGACACACACACACACACACAGACACACACACAGACACACACACAGACACACACACGTGAAATACCATTTGCAAGTGAAAATGTGTGTGTGTGTGTGTCTGTGTGTGTGTGTGTGTGTGTGTGTGTGTGTGTGTGTCTGTGTGTAGTGGTGGATGTTGTCGACAGCTCTCAGGTTGTAGGGAGTCTCATTGTGTCAGTTGAAGGACTGGAGGCTCTCCAGGCCATCATGGAGGACCAGGACCAGGAACCAGCCCGTCTCCTTCCTGCTTCCAGCCGTGATATCGACATGAGATGATGCTGTAGCGTGATGAAACACACACGTGAAGCAGCTGGTGAAGTACAACAATGATGTTGTGTCACAGGTTTGCGTTGGTTCCTGCAGCAGATCTGTCATTGGACAGGACAAGTAGATGTTTGAGTCTGAGGTCACGACCTTTGTCTGAACGCTGCTCAGATTCAGGATGTAAAGCGCCACCATGTGGACGTCACTGAAACGCCTCGTCCGGCTCATATGTGAAAAAATAAAATCATTCAGGTTCATGTGGTTATTGAGCGTGTGTCATTCAACATGTTTATCAATAAAGATTGAACGTTTCATGTTTGTGTCAGAGAATATCTGACGAATACAGACCTGAACATGTGACGATGTCACAGTGACCTTTGACCTTTAACTGAACATTAGCTACCCTTTAGCTAATAGGCAACCGTCCTTAGTGTGACCATGACAGGAGCAGAAACATCTGAGTGTAAACAGAGTTCAAGCAGAGGCTGTTTGAGGACGTGTCCTCCTGTGACCTCCGATCTCATCACTTCATCTTTGAACAGGATGTGACGTCACTGAGGTCATGTTGAGAGAAGTTTCCTGTTTGGAACCAGACAAAGACGAGTCTCCTGGTGCTGCCGCTCCCTCGCTCACACTGAAGCTGTTTCTGTGTCCAACATCTGCACAGCTCTTGGATCAGCGAGGTCCTTCAAGTCCTTGTCCCTTCAAGGCAGCCGACTCGAGCTGTGCTGCTCCAGTCATGTGACACATGATCATGTGACACACCTCATTCTCCACAATCATCTATTAGACACACCCACCTTATTAGGCAGCCTATTTAATCAGAAAGAAATTTCCCATCAACCCCTTTGCTCACACTGCTGCTGCAGTATCACTACTGGGGGGGGGGAGGCGGTTACATCACATCTGTGTCATCATATCGGGGGAGTGACTGAGTCGGAGCCTAGACGCCAAACACAGACTACGTTCTTTTGCTGCAAGAAACATTTGAACGTGTTCTGAAAAAGGTTCTTTGTTCAGGTTCACTGTGTCAAAAAAGACTTGAATGATCAAAATGATCCGATTTATGTTTGTGATTAGTGACGAACAGAGTCAATGAATAAAAGAATAAAAGTGTGAAACGGTTTAAGACGTTCAGTGGAAACACACACACACACACACACACACACACACACAGTACTTGATCACGGGAACAGAATCACTTCATCACTATTTGTTTGGAACGAATGTGTCCGAGCTTTTAATCATAGAAACATGTTGATGGGTATAAGCAAGAAAAAATGAAGTGATGGAAGGAGGGCGATGAGTTTGCTGCCCCCAGGTGTTCATGTGTGTTCCATGGTGTGTGACGTCATGGTGGAGGCAGGATGTCAGGTCCAGCTGACGGAGCAGAGCAGAAGCAGCTGAACTCAAACCCTCACACTCTTCTGTCACTGCAGCAGGTAACACTTCTTCTTCTGCTTCTCTTCATGTTGCTCTCGTCTGTAATGATTGACTCTGTTGTTTAACTTAAACTGAGACTCGAACATTAGAATCAAGTAGAAGAAATCACATTGTTAATGTTGTAAAAACCTTCAGCAATATTATTATATTCTATTTAACATGAACAATAAAATCAACAGTGATTGACATCTGAAATACGCGAATGAGAAAACCTGTTACTACTGTACATGAACTGTTTAGAGAACATTATTGTCTGTGTGCATCAGAATCAGCTGAATCTCACGTCTCTGCACCAGCGCCACCTAGTGGCCGGAGACATTAAGTGTTCAGGTCGTCCGTCCATCACATTGTTGTGAACACGATATCTCAGGAACAGCTCGAGGGAGTTTCTTCAAATTTGGTAGAAATGTTCACTTTGATTCAAAGATGAAATGATTAGAGTTCAGAGGTCAAAGGTCACAGTGAGCTCACGTCACAGTGAATGTGAATGTCTGAAGAGACCGAACCAGCCACACGACGCTGATTCTAGTTTAACTACGAAATGTGACGTCTGGTTTGTTGTGTTTTCTTTCTCTGTGCCTGACGTCTCCATGGTTACATCGTCATGATGCTGCAGTCTATCAATGGTCGTCGCTCTGTAGAAACAGGACGTCCTCAAGATTCCAGCTGTTCATATAGGTCGAGGTAAAACCATATAAAAGAAATCACACGTGTCAATATCTCAAGTAACAAAACAAACAGCTGTTCTAGTTTAAGATGAGTTTGTCAGCTCTGACTCTGTCCCCTGATTTAAACCTGATTCATCATCTGATTTAAATCTGTCTCCAGATTTTTTTATGTGACACGTCATCAGGTGATTAGTTTGGTTTATAACAAAATGAAATTTAAACATCATTAGTTTCATCATTATTCTGCAGTGACTGGACTGTTTGGTTCTAAATGTTCCAGATGAGACACGATGACAAAAACAGGAACATGAAAACATCTGTTGTTGTCCCGCAGAGCCGCTCGTCATGAGTCTGGACGAGGACGCCCGCTGGCTGGAGTGGGTCACCAGACAGTTCGAGAGCATCGCAGGAGACGACAAAGAAATCGACCTGGATGAGTTTAAAATGGCTCTGAAGGTCAAAGAGGTGAGTTTGACCTCTGACCTCTGGAGGCCTCGGGTTGATGTTTGACTTCCGACCTCTGCTCTGGTATCTGTCCACATGATGTCATGTGATCTCTGTGTGTGTGTGTGTGTGTGTGTGTGTGTGTGTGTGCACAGTCTTTCTTTGCCGAGCGTTTCTTCGCCTTGTTCGACTCGGACGGAAGCAGCTCCATCAGTCTGGACGAGCTGCTCAGAGCTCTGGACCTGCTCATCCACGGCAGCGAGACCGACAAACTCAAGTTCCTGTTTCAGGTTTACGACGTAGACGGTCAGTTCCTACACACACACACACACACACAC